TTAGATCCAGTTCAGTAAAGTTTGTCAGCCTAGCTGTATGTAATGGAATCAGGAACAAGCAGTTAGGGGTGAAGAGAACAGGAAACTCTTTTTAACCTGCTGTGCTGGTGGATGTGGATGCTTTTCTTTAATTTAGTTCCCGGGTACATTAACAAAGATGGTAACAACCTCCCTAGATCCAATGGACTTGCTGCACTTGACTCACTAGGTGAATCAAAGGAAGGAATAAACTATTCTACAGGCAACTGTGAGAGGGGTTTCTCCTTTCTCCTGGTTTCTGCTTTTCCACAGGATTTCGAAATGGTTGGCCTGTTTTATACCTTGACGTGTAATATATTGCCTTGTTTTCCTCTGTAGCCTGATGTAGTGGTTGACAGCCCTGCCCAGGGCAGGGAGGGGGTTGGAACTCGCTGATCTTTTAAGGTCCTCTCCAACCTGAGCTATTCTGTCATTCTGTGATTCATAATTTTTGAATGCTTTCTATACTAAGGGTAAATGAAGAAGAATGAAATGGGGTGACAGATTAAACATGCCATATTACTTTCCTCTTACTAGAGGCAAAATGTTTTGATTTGTCGAATAGATCAAGTAACAGCTAAAGGCAAGTTGTAGCCTCTTGCTAGAAAGCAATGGTAAAAAATGGAACTTTTAAACTTTATTACCTTGCTAGATCTCATCATTAATTAAAGGCTGTAAAATTGTAGTTCACTGTAAGATACATACGTGAAGTAAAGCTATGCAGTAAGATAGTAGTCTGTTTAACTGATTGTTTTTCTCTCCAAGGTTTGCCTTAATTTACTTTAAGAAACACGGACTTGTTTTTCTTGTTTTTTTTTGAGAGGGAGGAGCGCTGTCTAGGGGATTCCTAAGATGGATGTTCACTGAGGGACGTGACACACTAGAGATCTCTTTTAAAACCTTCTATTTTTAAGGTTACCTACTCACTTAAGTCTGTCCCCTTCACCTCTGAACACCTGATTGTAAGAACAGCCAGCTTGATCACATGTAGCTGACACTGGGATATCCAAAAGGAAACTTACAATCTAGTGTGTTCAGCCAGCCTCTGTTCACCCCCTACTGAGGGATCAGAAAGCACTTCTGGGAAGTTTCTAAAGCATCATTTTGCTTCACATAGGCATCTTGTTTCCAGGACAGTTTGGACCTGCCTGCATTTGTTTGTTCTTTGCTGCTCTGTGCAGTCCAGGCTGCAGGGCGCTCTGGGAAGAGAAAGTAGTTTTAGTTCCTGGGCCTTAATAGATTTCCTTCGCGATTTCATCTCTTCTAATCAGAAAAGGTAGGCGGACTTTGTATGATCAGCTTTGCTTTGTTTTGCTTCCTTCATGACTAATAAGCCTAGTTTCTAAATCAGTCACTAAAGGAAGTGAGATTTGTTTGTTTGCACTGTCCAGCTGTTGATGAGTTTAGGGCCTGCAGGCTGACTTCCATCAGGACTGACAGAACAGCGAATGGAGAAATACTGTGTTTCTGCCACATCAGAAGAGAGTGGGAGCTGGGCTGAGGAACAGCATAAAACGGAGGAGGCAGAGGGGAAATCCCCACCCGGCTCTGTTGGGCCCAGAGGCCTGGTGTGCATGCTCTGGTGCTGGGCTGGCACTGGGAAATGGCTTTAGCAGGAACTGAGGGCCCTGGAGAGAGACTGGGGAAGGAGAGATGGAGCCAAGAAGGGAAATGGATCCTAGAAGGGCTGTGGCAGTCATGGATGAAGAGGGCCTACGCCTGTACTCTGTGAGAAGACTGCCAGATGCATTCATGAGAATTTATCTTTTTAATTCACTCTGGTACCAGTGGAAGTCCTATTATTTGCATGGTGCACGTACGTTGCTTTCTCCTTTTTAACAATTTCTAGTTTAAGGCTTACTGAGGTGTGGAAGAGCAGACTTTTATGAGTCTGTTGCTTTAAATTTATCATGCAATTCTGAAATGCTTTCCTTTTGGGGCTGAGATGTCATTCTCTAACAATAGAGGCACTTCTGGCACTTGATAATTACTGCTCTTAGAAGGGACCAGGGAGATAATACGATGGCAATCGGAGTGGAAATGGAAAACCAAGGAGATAAAATTTCTTTAATAACATCTGTTTCATGACATTCTGACATAAGGTACTTGCTGATAGTCAAAATTGTCTTTTGCATGGCAAGTGATGAGGGTGAGAAAGGGTCCATCAGACACCTCTGGGGACAGAGGTAAATAGGACATACTATGCACATGTTTTTCAGCAGTAAGATCATTTGCTTTTCTTCGCCTTAAGATAGGTAATAGCTTTCTTGAAGTCCACAGTGAGTTTCCTATATGAATTTCCAGGTACAAGACATAGTTTTAAGTTATCTTTGTTTGAAGAAACTCAAAAGTGATGTATTTTTAAATTATACAACCTTCTTCCACTTCCTCGACGTCAGCTTCTGTGAGTCTCGTTCTCCTGTAATAACAGTGTTACCGAATAATAAGTTCTGAGAAACTTTATTTAAACAGCATGAATGTGATCACCAGCAATGCCAGTACTTTGCCATTTGCATATACAAGGAAATTCCTTTATTATCTTAATAGTTGTTCTTCTTTCATCCCAATATACGTAGTCTCGCAGGTTGTTTATCTCTGCCTGTCATGGACGTGCAATCTGCGGTGCTACGTTTGAAGTCCATTTGAGCTCCCCTGATTCTTGCCATATATGGCACAATAGACTGCCCAAATTTGGTCAAATATTTTTAGCCACTTAGTCATATGTCTTTTAATGTGCTGCATATGTAAGCTTTTGATTCACTTAGCAACAGTATTTTTATGAGTAGTTCTTGCCAGTTTTTCTTACGTATAATTGAAAAACAGGCAAAGTTTGCTCTTTGATAGGTTGTGTCACTAACAGACGGTCTGGCTTTTTTTAATAGTGCCGATCAATTTTAAGATATCCTTTTTTCACATGTTATGCATTTTGGAGGATTGCAGCAAGCATGAGTATGTAGCCTATTGAAATGTAATACTGAAAGATCTGAATTTAACAGCATTCAGAAAGTTGTGAGTTCTTCTGGTATAAGTTTGTTTTGCATATGATGAACTGGTGGATATTATGAGATAGGTAGGATATCTGTGATCAGGCAAATTGCATTTTTTCCAGAAAAACATGATGTAATACATGTGTGAAGCATGGCTTGGCTAATGTTTCTGTGAAGTGTAAACATCTGTGTTTCCTGAACTGCTTTTCTTCCTGATCTGTTACTACGTCTCACGATTAGTTCCTTTCATTCTGAGTAACAAAATGACTTGCAAAGAAAGGTGATTATTTTATTTAAGAGCTTATTAATACCATGTGGGCATTGTGTGCTGATGCTAATAACTGGAAGAAAATGAAGGCAGTATCCTTGAGGAATTGGTAGTCTTTACTGTTGAAGTATGCCAATAAACCAGTTATTGAAAGAATTGCTGATTATAGGGATGGAAATTAGTAAAAAGATAATTTGGAAAACCCTTTAAGAGGACACATTTCAAGAGTATCTGAAAAGGTAGGGAGGAACTTAGGTTTATGAAAGTTATTATTTTAAGAGTGTGTTTGTTTTTAATTGAAGAACAAATAATGCAAGCAGTTTGTTGCACTCTGGTTGCAGTCCAGCAGAAAGATTACTGATGAAGAAGCGCAGATGAGGCTTGTTATTAAAGCAGTTCTTTGTTGCATTCTAAATGAAACTTAAAGTTCATACCTTACTAAAGCAAATGGGGTCAAAGAAGGATAATTTCTTGCTGTTTTTGTCTGGTTAAACAGGACAGCAGTGTGTCTTCTGTATATTTTAACTGCTGCCTCAGCACTAGAGAATGAGGGAAAGCTTTGAGATTTGTCTTGGAAAGCACAGTTGCTTAAATAAGGAAATCTGTGGTTTTTACAGTAGGAGAACATAATTTTCAGTCCTGATTGTTGTAGAAGTATGCTAAAAAGTAATAGCTATACCTTAGTTGCATTTTTATGAGACAGATAATTCTCTGGAAGGATTTGGGAGCCTGGTAGTAGCAGTTCTCATTTCAGTCTTTTCGTTTTGTAGTACTGTTGATTTATTAAGGTAAAAAAAAAATTAATAGCGGTCTTGTGGAGTCTGTTTTGAGTCCTTGCTGTCTTGAAGTGCAGAGGGACTTTTGTCTGTGTTACTCTGCCCTTTTAAGGGCAGCAGTATGGAAGTTGGCAAGAAAACGCACTGAGCACCCTGTGAGAAAAATACTCAAACACAGAGAAGAGAGGCAAAATAGGAGCCAGTCAAGATGGGGATCTGGAGAGTGCCAGAAGTTGTGCATGTCCGCAGCACTACTTGTTTGGTAATGAAAATGTGTGCTCCAGAGGTATAGTATGTGCACAAAAGATAATATCTTTGCAATGTGCTGAACTGATACTCAAGTAAGTTTATAAACGAGAGCGATCAAAAGACTGTTAAAAGAGGTATGGTGCTAGAACATGCTGCGTAGAAAACAACAGGCTACTGTTGAAATGCAGCGTAGCATCCCCTTCCACACTCCTTAGTCTGAACTACTAAAACCATGTTACAACACTGTTTTCAAAACTGCTTCCCATCTCTTGACTACAATAATTCTACTTTATGGTGTAGTGATTGGCTGTTGGCAATTGTGATGTAATTCACTTGACTAAGCTGGACCTAGAATGGAGCTAGAACCTGGGGGCCTGGTAAAGGGAATGACTTTGTACAGGACAAACATTTTATACCAGTGGCTCTGAATGGGTTTTCAGAAAAACAGAACCAGTTTACCTGAGGAAATCACATTCATTGGTTTTGTTAAACTCTGTTTAAATTATTGTGTTAAAGGATTTGCTGACAAATTTCTAAGTGGTGTTTTTTTCTCCAGTTCTTTCTGTCTTGCTGTCAAATCCCAGCAGATAAAACTTGCTTCCACATGGTACCTGAAAGCAATTATTTTTTTCTTAAAGATGCACAATATTGTAAAAATAACTTTAATGTGAACTGATTTCTTACATCTTTCTTTCTTTATAGGCTTGTATAGATGATAACGTAGATATGGTGAAATTTCTGGTGGAAAATGGAGCAAATATTAATCAACCAGATAATGAAGGCTGGATACCTCTACATGCAGCTGCTTCCTGTGGATATCTTGATATAGCAGAGTAAGGCTTTTTCCTCTATATTTCAAATACATGCATTTTGCTAATATATTGTTGGAGGGGTACCAGAAGTAGACTGTTGGGTGATTTTCAGAAATTATTTTCCACTGGTGGGGGGGAGGCATGGGGAGAAAGTTCTAATTTACATTCTGTTTGTAGTCTGAACCATTATCCCAGGATATGTCTATGTGTAGGAGACTGATTTTGCAATTGTATTTCCAGTCTTGAAACTTTTGTTTTTCAGGTGTGGTATGAATTGATGACTTCTGCTAAGTATTTTGGCCGTAGAACAGAATCTTACTGTTGAAGTTAGATGCCTGTTAGGGCATTAGTTAAGGCTTACACGGCAGTGAATTCCAGCAGTGGTTTTGATGTTATTTTCTAAGCCTGTTGAGGACCTCTGAAGATGCGTTAAAATCATTTTTTTTCCAGAGGTTGTATTTCTTAACCTGAAGCAATGACTGATCTGAGACATTGTAGGGCATGTGTTGTTCAGAATGCTGTGCTTGCAGTAAGGAGGGTAGCAGTGTTTTTTGAATACCCTTTGGGTATATGCAGACTTGACTAATTCTGCTAAACTCTGTGTCGTGTTTGATCCCATGTAGGGCTTGGATCAAATGTAAGGTAGTAATCTATCATGCAGTTACTCTGATGTACTGATTGCAATTGAAAAGTTTGACGTTTGTAACTTCAGGAGATGGTTTATTGGTTTTCTTTCTGGTGAGTGTGAGAGATTTGGTTGTTCGAATTTTAAAGGAAAGGAGAAGTTCTGGAGATTCTTTTGTTTCTCATTTTCCCTGTGAATTTTTTTTATTTTTTTGCTTTTCAAAGGTTGAAGTGCTTTGTGTAGTCCTTATGTAACGGGACACTGTGACTGCTGACTTCTGTAATCTGCCTTTCTACACTAAGCAGATGTTTGATGCTGTAATCTCTCTTGCATGCATGTTGGAAGTGTTGACTTGTTGGCCATACTATGACAAGAATTTCCCTACAAACTGAGATAATAGATGCCTTTCTTCAGTACAGTAGAGGTAAAACACCTGCTTTTCTCCATAATAGGAAAAAGTTGAGTAAATGTTCTCTATTTGGCATTGCAACCTAGGTTAGACGCAGCTGTGCAGGGAGGAAGGAGAAATGCATTCCCTTGTCCACAAGAAAACTTAGTAATCTGAAACCTATAATATTTCTGAAGGTTCCAGTGATTTTTATTCCCTCAGTCTTTGAGAGGACCTGTTGACATACTTTCCTGAAATGTCCTTTAAAGAAGTGAGATTATTGGAGTATAATCCTGCAGGATATGGGACATCTAAGCTGCTGGAAGATCGAGGTTTTTAAGGTGCGAGGCATTTTAGAAATAGGCTCTTGAAACTGTTTCCCATGTACATCAAAGAGAGAGGGGTAACCTGACTTAAATGGTGTGGAGTTTAGATCTGGAATGGCCTGGGGAGTTCAGATTTCCTTCTGACTACCCCTCCAGGAGTGAGCTCAGCTTCAAATAGTTTACAAAATGGACAACAGAATTTGCCGCTCAGGCAAAACTTGGGGAAGGGGAAAGGGTTGTGTGAGAAATTACATGCATTAGGAATTTTGTTTGGTGTGTGGCACACGTTGGATTCAGCGTTTGTTCCGCTAAGAATATACCTTTCTTGGAAAGCACAGAAGTGTGTATGTCTGTGGCTGAAGCCAATATGTATCATTTTAAGTGGTAAATTGTCTTGTTCAAGAAAAGGAGCTCTTTGGATAGATTGGATCTTTGGATAAATTATGGAGATCATATTTAAAGTTCTGAAAGAAAAAAATACAGCTAGTAGCTTGGCATTTCTGTGTCCTTATGATGTGGACTGGTATTTTTGTACAATGATTTCTGCTCATTTCCTATTTTTTAGAAGGAAATAGAGGAAAAAAAGGATCAGGGAATGTGTTCTGGTGTTCCCAGCTTTATTAGTAAACAACCAAGGAGAGTCTGACTTGTGTTTCCTTTCTTTTCCTTCTCTAAAACTTTTACCTCATGCGCACATTTGTATACCATCAAACTGGGAACTCAGCAATGTGCTTTAGCTTTCTCTGCTGCCACCTCGGGTGTTCTGAGGGCTTCCCTCAAATGTGAATAGTGGAACTTTTCTCTCAGAACAGCATAGTTTGTAAAATCCTCCAAATAAGCTGATGTAGTTAATATTGTGATTTTGTTTACAATGCATATATTTTTAGAATTCATAAGAAAAAAAATCAACACTATATAGAATAGTTTATTTTTTCAGGATTTCATTTCTCAAAGTCAAAAATTGTATGTAAGACACAGAGTTAGGAAATCGGCATCTTTTCTGCTATGAAGGGCATTTATGTGTTTACAGCATATTATGGGGAACTTCTCACTCTAAGTATGTTCTCTTTATGTTGAATATGTACACACTTGCAACCTTAATATTCTTTGTGCATTTGTGTGCATTGCTCTTTAGGCTTAAAAGAAGTGGGAGGAAAGTGGAGGAAAGAAAGCAGAAGTTCTGTTAATGATGCATGGTACTCTTGCCTGATCACTAACCAGGGCCCTTGTGTGAGGTCTAACCAGGATATGTTGTGCTGGAGTTTGCAGATCCATTAATAGGATGTGAAGCCTTCTTTCTGCTTTCAGAGAGAAAAAAAAAAAGTGAATCATTAAATCCTAAGCTTCTTCTGATGCTTCTTTGACCTCCGTAGAATTATACCACGATGGATAATGTACTGTCTTACAGAGTGATAAAGATTTCTGCTCATACTGCACCATCGTCTTACAATTCAGATGTTATTTCTAAACATTCTATCCATTTGCTATTAGCAGCAATTTCGTATTCTGTACAGTAAATGGAAATGGCACAGAATCACTCCCTGGTTAACAGGGGATCGTGTGCCCGTGAGATCAGTGTAGGATCATTCCTATCTCTCTGTGCTTTCAGAGAACTGCCAATCATCTCTCTATTAATGCTGCTGTTTGCCAGCAGGTTGCACACTGCAGATATATTCCCAGTCCCAGTGCATCTTGCACACATCAGTTCTGTAACATCTCCCAGCAGCATCTCCTGTCCCATTTCAGTCTGTAGCTTCTGTGGAATGTTGTTCTTCTCTTGAGTGTGCTTCCTGTCTCCTTTAAATGCGTGTGTCTTCTACTTTAAGAAACGTCAGCGTTGTAAGTTACACTTCATCTGTTTTATGACCATATGAATTAGCTTACAAGTAATAGCAATATGAATGTGTTGGATATTGTTGCCAAAACAGGTGGGTTTTCTGTAGGATGATCTCCTTGTACTTGTTTCTGTTTTCTTTTTCTTATACAGAAAGCTTTCTATGAAGGAGATTTTTCTTTGCCTTCAGTTTGTTAGCACAGACTAAAATTTCAACATCAAATGCTTTGAAAAATTACAGTTATGGGGAAGCAAACTAATGCAGAAGCCGTTTGGCAGAAATGTTGTATCTGCATTCTTTAAGATATTGTTTAATAGGTAGGAGCCTTAAATTCAGCTTTCACAGAAGCATGAACACATCTAATAGAACTGTTCAGGTGAATGTAACAAATTGATTTGTATGATGGAATTCCTCTGCAGTTTAAAAGCCTCTCTATTGTATTAGTATTGGGTAATAAACACATTACTCTTCAGAATGCAGAAGACAAGAACAAACATACTAGTGTATCAGGAAATAATGCAGAGTGGTATTCAGGCAACAGAATTTTAAAATACTTTTTCTTTACACCACTTTGTGTTGTACCAGATTAATATAAAATAAATGTAAAATGGCATATATTTCTCTCAATTTTTCTCTTATTGAAAAATTATGTGTGAAAGTGTACTTTCGTGTGGGTCATTTACAGTGCCTAGCTGTGAGCGTGGGGTTGAGTTTTGAGTTTGCTTGTGAGCATTTGCAGGCTACTGTATAGTTTTACTGCTTAAATACAAATGTATTTTCATTTTTGCCAGAATGGAAGAATGTTTATCTTTCAGAAAAATGTATGAAAAGCTTTTTTTTAAAAAAAAATAAAGCAAAAAACAAAAACCCATGTAATTAAATTCAATTAATTATTCATCTGGCAGTTACACTTTTGTCTGTGCTGCAAGAGAAAGGTTTACTTTTTCTCTGGACTGACTCTGCAAATTGCAACGTTCAGCTTAGGCAGCATAGCAGTGAAGCAGTCAGGGTTCCAGGAAATGCATAAGGATCACCCCTTTCCTACACAAAAAGGCAGTGCACGTCACTTTACTTTCTGAGGATTGTTTCTTGAACTTTTTCTTTCGTGGGGAATTCACCTGTTGCCGCTCCATGGGCTGCTCTTCTTACTCCAGCTTGTAGTACTGACCCCACGTCTCAACACCGGTGACGATGCGATCCAGGAAATCATTGCCTTCAGCCTTATATTGGTTCATTAGGTTCTGATAAACTCACATATGGTGTTCTTTCTGTTCCTCTGTGAAAACATCTGGGACAAGCTTCGTGATATTCCTGCATCGCCAGCATTATTTCCAACACATTGAAGCCAATATTCAACTCCATACACAGTTCTCTGATCATAATCCACCGATTTGCATGGGTAAGCTGATGGAGACTTTCTTCATTTTGTGGTGTGACAGCCGTGCATGGCTATTTGGAACATGGCTTGTCTTCATGTTGCTGTCAGTGCTGCTGAAAGGCACCACCCACTGCCTCACTGTGCCTCACATCCACTGTTTGGTCTTCATAAGCATTCAGCAAGCATTGATGAATGCCAGTGAGTGCCATTTTTTCCGCACTGAGGAATTGAATAATACACCTTTGGTTCATACACAATTCCATGTCAACCACTATTTTGTCAGATTGCTTCTTCACTGCCATCTGTCACACAGCAGCAAAACATAATGGAATATTGGTGGGAAGGTTCAGTCATGGCTTCTGCCATTCCACCAGGATCCACCTCTGATATTGTGGACCAGCGCAGTAAAATAGGAAGCATTACTTTCAAAGCAGCCCTCATAGTATTCCTCAGTTAGAACTTAACAGCT